AATTCGCGTATAGCGACATGCTTTTAGTGCCCCGTGGTCATATTCACTGCTTGAATAACGACTTTCTGGGCTTTTGACAGCTATTTCAAGTACCTGTCAGTCAAGTACATGTACCTGTCATGCAGAAGTACCAGAACCTATGGTGCACTGCACTGGTGATGGATATTATTGCACACATGCCAGAAAATGCAGCCAAGGGGGGGGGGGCTTTTCTTCCTTTTTTTATGTTGGCTTCAAAATTGTTGGATTTACCAGCACACCTATATGTATACAATGTACATGTAGTTGTACATGATTGTACAGTAATCATCATACATGTACATATCTCTAGCCCTGTAGATGGCTCAAAAAGGCATATTTTTCAATTGATTTCCCTTGCATATTGAATTTTTAGTTCCTTTCAACTGCAATATGAAAATAAAGTACACATTGACATAGAGCAAGAAAAGAGCTTGATTTTGATATGCATATCATACTATACAAAATATGGGTTCCCATACATTCAAATGGGACTTCGGTTATAAGGACACTTCGCGAATAAGGACACTTTTCTGATGCCCCGCCGAATGTCGTTATTGGCGAAGTTGACTGTATCTGTAAAAAATCAAGTAAATCCTTAGGAGTTCTCTCCCCCCACTGCTCCTACCTCCCACTTTCTTGCAAGCTTCTTTTTTATTTAGCCTACCTTCGCCCAATATTTGATTATGCAGATACGTCATGGGTTGGGTTATCCTCTTCCGCTGCTGCAAAGCTTGAAATACATCGCAAGAAAATCCTTAAAATTCTCCTCCGTCAACCTCGCATGCTCTCATCATCCGCCCTTTATAAAATCACTCACACAACCCCGTTATCACATGGACGCAGTGCACACCTGGCTTCTCTTGTCCATTCTATTAAGCTTGAGTTGTGCCCACCTCATCTCATGTGTTTCAATTGGTTCTCTTCTCTAAGAACTAGAAACTCGCTCTTACTCCCTAAGTGTAACTCATCCACTCTTTTGCGCTCCCCTCTCTTTATTGCTTATTCTGTTTGGCTCACTCTACCCAGAGAAGTTAAGGACCTGACCTCACTCCGCCTGTTTACGATCCGTGCCGCCCCTTATTTACTACGACATACATAGCTCATTATCCACATGTCCTTTGCGTCTCTGTGTTTTTCACTGTTTTTATTTGACATTATCTTTCTTTACGGAGTTGTTGTTGCTGTTCGTTTTGCTACTCTTTCTTTTTCCCTCCCCTTACCTTTATTTATCGCCGTGGTTGGCAATCACCCACTCTCGTAACATTGGCCGGTGTTTCCGCCGAGTCTTGAGATGTTGTAATAAATAATAATAATAATAAGCTTTGTTACAACTCTGAGTTTCACGTGTTTCTACGATCATCAGGCAACTGATGGATCCCAAACGGGCAGCCAGAACATAAGGGGGAGCAAGGTGGGAAATTCTGAGGGGTGTCATAGGCGATGCGTATCATAGAGCAAGAGTCAGGTGCAGGCGTGAAGTTGCCAAGTCTTCAGACTTGGGGCTATGCAGCAGTAGTTCCGGCATGGATGATATAGAATAGAGCTGGGGACAAATGCCAAATCCACACATGCCCACACCACTACACAAACATACACCCACACACTCTCCCTTTTCTCACATACACATACACTCACACGCGCGTCCGCACACACATTCTCTAAATCTCTCTCTCTCTCACACACACACGCACACACACATTCATTCTCTATATCTCACACATGCACAAACACGCACACACACATTCATTCTCTATATCTCACACACACATACACACACACACACACACACACACACACACACACATTCTCCAAATCTCACACAAACATTCTCTCTCTCTCTCTCTCTCACACACACACACACACACACACACACACACACACACACACACACACACACAGCCACAATACTCATCCTTTCATTCTCACACCTACCGCACACTCTACCGGTCTGGGAGCTCCAGTGAGTCAGATATCAGTCTTATTGAGTATCTTGAGGAGACCTTGCTCGCTGTCCGGCACCTCGGTGACTATGTTCTGATCACGGGTGACTTCAATGTTCACATCACCGCTTGGCTGGGCAGCACCAAGACCACTGTTGCTGGGGAAGCCTTAGAGGACTTGTGCGCCTCGCACTACCTCACCCAACATGTCTCCGAACCTACCCGCAAGAACAACACACTGGACTTAATTATATCCGACCTCCCAGGTGCACTATCTGTCACCACTGGTCCGCCGCTTGGACGCTCAGACCATGTCACTATCTTAACGGAGTTCAAGACCGTACGTCCCCGCAAGGAGCAACCGGCCCTAAGAATCGTCTGGCAGTATGCTAGAGCAGACTGGGGAAGGATGCGCGCACATCTTAGCCGCATTAACTGGCCAACTGTCCTATCAAATGACCCTGACGCTGCTTGTGAAGCCCTCACAGGAATTGTGCGTGATGCCATGTCTCAGTTTATTCCCTCCAAGACCATTAAAGTAATGGCCACTGACCCGGTCTGGTGGACACCTGCCTGCCAACAAGCGGTGCACCTAAAGCAACAAGCCTGGAGAGTCTGGAGGCAAGACCCCGATAGCTTGCAACAGAAAGAAACCTTCCTGGCATCCGTTACACATTGTGTGCATGTTCTGCAACATGCCCAACAGCAATGCAAAGAGCGAGCTTCTAGAAAGCTGCCATCTGGCTCCTTGCAAGACAAGCAATGGTGGACAGCTAATAAGCGAGCTGCTGGTGTTAGCCGCCAAAGCGATATACCTGTCCTGGTCGACAGATCTGGACACAAGCACACCACTGCTAGGGAGAAAGCCGAGTGCTTTGCCCAATACTTTGCCATGAAGTGCAGCCTCGGCTCCAACGATTTATCTGCCTCTGATCAGCTCCCTGCTATGCAACTTGATGCCGCGGCACCTCAGATCACAGCCATCCACTTTCGTCCAGCCAATGTCCGTCGTCAACTAGCGGCGCTAAATCCGCACAAGGCCACTGGCCCCGATGGCATATCAGCTAGAGTCCTCAAGCAATGCCACAGGGAGCTGGCAGAGCCTGCTGCTCACTTGTTCTCTGGCTGCTTCAGAGCAGGGGTCCAGCCAGCTTCCTGGAAACTAGCCCATGTGTCCCCCATACACAAGAAGTCCTCCAAGTCAATTGTCTCGAATTATCGACCTGTGTCTCTCCTCAGCATCCTATCGAAAGTAATGGAGAGTATAGCCAACTCCCAGCTTGTCAACTTCTTGGAACACCACCGTCTGCTGAATACTCGTCAATACGGTTTTCGTCGTGGCACCGGAGCTGCAGACCTCCTGACTGTCCTACAGTATGTGTGGGCCAATGCCATGGCAGAAGGTGGAGCTATGCAAGCAGTTGCCGAGGACATAGCGGGGGCTTTTGACAAAGTGTCTCATGCTGGCGTACTTTACAAGGCCCGCCAGCTGGGGATAGGGGGTTCACTGCTCGCATGGCTTACCCACTACCTGCAATGTCGCACCATTAAAGCTGTTGTTCATGGCCAGAGCTCATCGGTGCACCCTGTCCAGTCTGGCGTCCCACAAGGTAGTATCCTTGGACCTACATTGTTCCTCGTGTACGTAAACGACATTTCAAGCTGCTTGTCGCATGGCACAAACCTGAACACTTTTGCTGATGATACAACTTTGTACTCCCTCCTTGACCAAGCCTCGAATGCCTCACTACAACGCAGCCTAGATGAGCTTCATGCCTGGGGCAAGAGATGGAAGATTGCGTTTGAGCCATCAAAATCGCAAACTATCACTCTGTCGCACCAGCGGAAGGATACAGTGCCTCCCCAGCTGTCATTTGGCGGAACTCCTCTCCCACCAGATGAATCTGTGAAGGTGCTCGGAGTGACGTTTGATTCTAAACTGAGCTACAGACTCCACCTTCGGCAAGTGGCATCACGTGCTAAGCAGCGGCTGGGCCTCCTGCGGAAGGCAGCACCCCTCCTCAGCCACGCGGGCAGGGTGACTGTTTACAAAGGATTCGTGCGGCCAATGCTGGAATATGCCCCCCTTGCGTGGATGGGATCAGCTCCTTCACACCTGGCCATGCTGGATGCTGTCCAGCTCCGCGCCCTAAATGCCATTGGCCCTCGTACCATTCTTCCCAGCCTCCTTGTTCGGCGGAAGGTCTCTGCTCTCTGCCTACTGTACAAACTGATGTGTGGCCATGGTCTGCCTCAAGTTGCAGCCATGTGTCCCCCGCTGGCTATACCGCCACATCATCGCCGCACACGAGCAGCCCAAGCACAGCACCATCCCCACCAGCTTGAGCTGAATCTCTCGCCACGAGCTCCTGATTACCTTCTGCGCTCTTTCCCATACTGCATCGTGCAAGTGTGGAATTGACTGCCACAGGCAATTCTGGACAAGCAGCCAGCCCGGAAACACCTGCAGAGATACAAGATTGCTGCATACCGTCACCTGCAACAGAGTGACTGGTGCTCTGCTCATGACTGGTGCTAGCTATGCACATCTATCACACTGGCCTGCCATCAGTGGACGCAAATCATTATGTTGACCCTCTTCTCAAACTTGTATTGTGGCAACACTGGCCAACACTCAGATGCACTGCTTCTTCACACAGCTGAACAATTCTTCTTTCTTCTCAACGTTTCGGTCACTCTGACCATCTTCAGGATGAAGCAGACACGGAAGCAAGGCAGACTTTAAAACAACAAGCTGGCTAGGTGCGTGCGGAATACAGCGGGGAGAACAAAACAAAAAAAACAACAACTCCCAAGCGAAAAAATGACACATGCCACATGATCGCAATAGGGGTGCTAGTCCTCCGTGTGAAAGACTAGGGCGGTGATAATTATGTACAACCTGTGCCACATGACTACAGTAGTGTGGACAGTGCCAACATAATGCTAAAGTCTAGGGTGGTGATACGTACAATTTGTGGGTGCTAAGGTTTCACATGAATAGCTATCACTCCAATGAAAAAGCCAGGCAACCAGAGTTCACAGGAGATCCCAACCACTGCTGGTGTTGATATTAGGCTCCATGTCCCGGATCTTGACCGCTTCCCGAATCCTTCTCCTTGCCCTGTCTGGCTCTGTCGCAAGCACACAGACGTTGGCGAATCCGGTCTGCCCCAGCGACAATGGCTCATCGGCATGGAAGATCCGGTAATGCTCACCCAGCGCCTTCCCTCGGACCTCGTTGCGTGCATTATCGTTGTGCTCCCTTGACCTTGTCGCAACGCTTCGGCCAGTTTCACCCACATAGTCATCACCGCAACGGCACTCGAGGTGGTATACCACGTTTCGGCGGGTGCAGTCCACTGCCCCTGCTGTACATGCCACGCAAGCTGATTTCGGTCTTCCCCTTCTCCTTGGCTGCTGTGGATCAACGAATTTGCGGCATAGGGGCTTGTCCAAAGCAGACCTGCAAACCCGCGAGCTGAGCCGAGCATTCTTGTATATGATGTGGGTGTTCAGCTGATATTTGCGAATGAGATACTGCACCTTCTTGTGGATGTGATCGGTTTTGAATGGCAGCTTGAGTGTTGTGCGAAAGTCCTTTTTCTGTTTGGGTCCTGTCGGTCGTCCAGCTCGTTCCCGGGCCTTGTCAATCACTGATTGGGGGAAATTGTTGAATTTCAGCACGTCGATGACCTTCTTTTCACTCCTCCGGCGCGTCTCATTATCCGATGATAGTCGAGAGGCACGGAGGAATTCGGAAGAGGCAATTGAGAACTTTTGTTGATATGGAACGGCGGATTTGTAGTCAGCCACCAAGCCACTGTGACATGGTTTGCGGAAGAGCTCGTATGAAATGGCTCCAGTTGTTGACACATGGATTGTGGTGTCCATGAAGTCAATGGAGCCCGTTTCTTCTGTGGACTGGTGGGTAAATTTGATCAGTGGGTTACCATCGTTGAAGTGTTGAATAAAACGACAGAGGAGCGCCGATCCTAATACCCACAGCATGATGATGTCGTCGATGTATCTCTTGAACAATACAGGAGCGCCGGGCGCAGACTGCAACAGTGACCTTTCGAGGTCGTGCATAAATAATGGCGAAGGGGGGTGCCAGATTATTACCCATGGCTACGCCCTCTCTCTGATGGTAGGTCATGGAGCCGAAACGGAAATAATTGGATCTCAGGACGAATGACAGCAGCTCCTTGATCTGGAGAATACTCAGGCCAAACGTGTCGATATCACTGACATGCTGCTGCAGAACTCTGGTAACTGCCTCAATACCGTCCACGATGGGGATACTAGGATAGAGGGCAACCACATCCATGGTCACTGCAATGGTTCCGGGTGGAGCTTGAAGGTCGGGGTAATGCTGGCGTATGCTGTCCAATGCTTCCACTGTATTCTCGAGGTGAGCTGGGATGAACTTGAGACACTGGTTGAGTATTCGCTCTAGGAGGATGGAGACATTGGTGACTGGACTATCGCAGGCTGATACTACCGGTCTCAATGGCACTCCTGCTTTATGGTCTTTGGGCAGACCATACATTTCCGGAAACTTATTATCGCCTGGGAGGATAGCTTGGTAAAGATCCTTCTCCAGCGTGGTTTTGCAGATCCGCTCAATGATATTGCGGGTCTCCTTCTCCCAGTCGTCAATGGTGAGGTTGACAAGTTCAAATTTGGAATCGTCGGAGAGAAGAGCCTCGGCTTTGTCTAGATACGTAGACATTTTCATTGCCACGAACTTGTTACTCTTATCCGACTTCTTGATGATAACCGACTTATTCTCGTGGATCTTCCTTAGCTGTGTGCGATCCGACTGAGACATATTGGAGGGCGGGGCCCGAGCTGCTCGATAAGCGTTCATGACGTCCCGCTTGAACTTAGCGAGTTGAAACTCTTCTTCTTTGGGTAGTTTAGGTCCCTGCTCGAAGCCATGCGCCTTAATATGCCAGATCTTACTGTCGAACGTGTCTGGGGTATCACTAGGAGAACCATCCGGATAGGTTATTGCGTTATTCCACCAGCGAAGGGAGTATGCCATCCTCTCAATGCCGACCTCCACATCCTCCATGTCCCTTCTGCTGACACTGCCTGTGGACGGTACAAACCCTGGACCATTCTGCAGTAGTCCAGCGACTTCTTGGGATATACAATCGTCCAAGGTGAGAACAGAGCCCGACCGATCATGGGTACTGCGACCCATCATGGACGGTATGTTGCTTCGTCCATGGCTTGTGGTCATAGCCTTTGCTTGATCCCTCAGTCCTCTTCTCAAAGTAGCATTATTTAGAAAAGCGATCCTGTCAGCTTTTCTATTATTGTGTTCACATGGCAGAAAAAACGACACCGCTATGCTACGTAAGTTTCTACGAAAGGTGCTCGGTATTTCACTTAGGCTACGTAAGCTTCTACGTAAGGTGCTCGGTATTAGATCTACCAACGCGTATTAGCCGCGTGCTTTGCACGTGCACGGCGGACATTGTGTTGCATGCAGTGCATGCAGTCCGTTTTCGGATGTGCATGCGCGAGGAACTTCCTTCTTTGGAACTGTTTCTTGCATGAGCTGTTTCGGATATTTCGTGTCCTGGCTTGTTTCTCTTCGGCTCTGCTGAGACCTCCTTTCACGGAATATTACTCAATGACAGGTGAGTTGACCAGTTCCCTTTGATTCATTTGCTTGTGTTGACTCTTTCATTTACGAAAAGTGTGCTGATTTTAGGTGGAATACAATAAAATTTAATATTGGAAAAGCTGACGGGATCTCTTTTCTAAATTTATCTTTTCTGCTGTCGAGGCCTCCTTTTACGGAATACTCAATGAAAGATGATCTCTGAGTTGACCAGTTTCCTTCGATTCATTTGCTTGCTCACCCTTTCATTTACGGAGACGTGTGCTGATTTTATTCGGATTTAGATCCATTCCGGCATTCGTATCTCTTTGCCCTTGCCAACAGTGTGCGAAGAACGCGAGTTCACCTTCTTGACGGTAAGGCTTATGTTGCTGCTGAGGCTTAGATGTGTTGTCGAAATACTCATGTTCATTGTACATTGGTACGTTACAAGTAAGGCACTGGTCATGATTGCTTCCGGCATTCCGTGCTCCGATCATAGGGTAGAATCTGAATTTTGCAGTGGCATAGCATCGTTGGCAGTTCCTAATCTGATAGGAAAGGTTCAAGGACGCATTGGCCGAGTATGCAAAATAAATTCGCAGATCAGGGAAAATCTCCATTATGGAGAGGTTCATGCATTCAGTGACTTGTTTGCTTCATACGAAACAAGCCAATGGGTGCAGTCTCGTCTCGTGAAAATCTCGTACGATTGGATTTGTTTACTCGAGTCTGGGCTGTTTGATTTGTGAGTAGCGCCGAGATTGCACTGCCCCAAATAAAGTTGCGTGCCGGCAGAGCAAGAATTACGATCTGCAATCTGTTTGTAGTACCGGCAAGAATGTGCTGTACATGTATCGTATTTTCTCTGTTGTTGTTTCAGTTGCCCTCATGTTGCTAAAGAAAGGTTTGGTGACTCATTTGTTTCATACAAGACGAGTCAATGGTTTGGTCTGGCTTAGAATCTTTCGCTGTAGGAGAAATCTATTCGTGTCTCTATTGGAGAAATAATTGTATTCACTCGTTATAAAATAGGGTTAAGACAAACTCACAGAACAAATTCCATCGGCCCTTGATGCTCGTCCTAAAGAGGTTTGACTGGATATCATTCATACTCCCCCAAAGTCGTGTAACATTTTATTATTATGGAGTGCCTTGTTTATCTCTCAGCACCTCCAACCATATATTCTTGCCCCTTATATCCTCAGGATCAGTGTAGTTGTTGGAACGAGGTGTCGGACGCAACAATGTATTTGTTTACATTTTAATACAATCTATTGTTCCTACTTTGCTGTGTTGCTTTAGACAATCGTGGACTTGTAACACTTTGAAGTCATTGAACTACATCCAAAAGTTGTATCGACATCAACAGGATTACGATTTCAGTACAATTATGATGCCGGACGACCTTATCACGACAACCCATGACTGCAATTCTAAACACAGAATCAACAAAACCATCTGCACCTGGCTACAATTCTCAAGTAAATGTGATTTAGGGTGTGGACATCTGAATTTTCTGAAAGACAAGACAATTAATTTTTATGACAGAGTCATGAAATTCTGCAAAAGCAACATCCACAGAATGACCTGCATATAAAAAAAAGTATCACCGCCATTACCCATATGATTCCCCTGCAGAAGAACATGAATATGCAAGACTAGTGCCATTTTCTGCAAGAAAAGGCTTGAACATCAATACGTATAATACGGTATTGAATTTGATATGATGCACATGTAGAGGCGATTCATTTAGGCCATCAGTCGGGCATTCCATTATAATCAAGAGTCTCTTGATAATATCCTTAGCCAAAAAAACAAAAGAAATTATAGCAATAAAAACTGCTTTATGGCAGTTTTCTAAAAAAAGTTATTGTGTTCTAGTCCATGGACCCCGTCTAGAAAGTAAGAAATTAACGAAATGTGATAGCCGAAAATTAAAATTTCACACAAAACCTCACAATAATCACAACACTTGAGGATCTTAGTTTTAAAAAAATACTGCTCTCAACACTTGTTTACGGATCACTTGTACTGCGCCAACATGCATGAATAGGAGGGCTGCGCCAACATGCATGAATAGGAAAGAGGACCACGAGGGGAAAAGGTCTTCTCGCTTTTCATCCTGTGTGTGATTATTGTGAGGTTTTGTGTGAAATTTTAATTTTCGGCTATCACATTTCGTTAATTTCTTACTTTTTAGACGGGGTCCATGGACTAGAACACAATAACTTTTTTTAGAAAACTGCCATAAAGCAGTTTTTATTGCTATAATAGTCATAGCGACGATATGCCGCTGAACTCTTTCTCTCTCTATACTTATATCTCTCCACCTCTTTCACTCTCTTTCCCTCACTTACCCATCTCTCTCTTTCTCTCTCTCTCTCTTCTTTCTTGTGCACTCTCTCTCTCCCTCTCTCTATCTCTCTGTCTCTGTCTCTGTCTCTGTCTCTCTCTGTCTCTCTGTCTCTCTGTCTCTCTGTCTCTCTGTCTCTCTGTCTCTCTGTCTCTCTGTCTCTCTCTCTCTCTCTCTCTCTCTCTCTCTCTCTCTCTCTCTCTCTCTCTCTCTCTCTCTCTCTCTCTCTCTCTCTCTCTCTCTCTCTCTCTCTCTCTCTCTCTCTCTCTCTCTCTCTCTCTCTCTCTCTCTCTCTTACTCTCTCTTACTCTCTCTCTCTCTCTCTCTCTCTCTCTCTCTCACTCTCTCTCTCTCTCTCCCTCTCTCTCTCTTTCTCTCTCTCTCTCTCTCTCTCTCTCTCTCTCTCTCCGCCATTCCTCTCGCCCCCCCCCCTCCCATGGTGCTTGCTGTGTACGCTGATCCCGAGACCCTTGGTCGGGGAAGTCCACTGCATCTCACCAGCGCAGCTCATGTAGCGCCTACACACCCATTGTTGTCTTTTTTGTTTCGTCTTCGTTTTGTCTCCCCCTTCTTCCGTAGGTATGTGCAATGTGATAAAAAAAAAAAAAAAAACCCCACATACTTGCACCCGCACTTATCCAATCACCCACACGCACTCTCTTCCTATGACACCCCTCAGAATTTCCCACCTTGCTCCCCCTTATGTTCTGGCTGCCCGTTTTCATCAGTTGCCTGATGATCGTAGAAATGCGTGAACCTCAGAGTTGTAACAAAGCTTCCAAACTCTCTCTTGTGTACAAGGCTCTGCCCTGCATGGGCATTGAGCACTCTTCGGACAGTGAAGCACACCACTTGACTACGTAAAGTGATATCTATCAACTTCAGAACATTGATGACCGAATATCCCTGTTTGTGATGCCATTTTACAACTTTGTTAAAAAATGACACCGATTATTTGAATACTGAGAATACAATGAAAGTAGGACATGATTCAAGTCACTTTTCAAAGTGAGATCATTCCCATTTGGAACAATTTATTTGGACGTAGCTTGCCTAGAAGTGGCTGAAAAAACGTCATTTTACAACTATGCTAAAAAACAGTCAAATCACCTCGTACAGCTATACAGTCGTCCCTCTCTAAGGCCCCGGTCACACCGAAACAAGCCACTTTGGGCTTGTTATCGCTGGCGCTCAGCTGGCTTGCGTGATCCCTGTGACGCGGTCACACCAGACCTTGAGTGCAAAGCTTGAATGGCTTGTTTTTCTTACCCGCCAAATTTTGAATATCTCGAAACACACCAATGTTTGCAAGAAACTGGAGAGCAGAACGTTCGCGATCTAAAACTGTACTTGTTCTAGTGTTCAGTTTTGATGAAGAAGCAAAGGAAGCCCGGATTCTGAATTGCGAAGTCGTGCTCTTTTTATTTGTTCGGTGTGCATGGACGCGATGGTTCGGGTGGTGTTTCCTGATGTCGAGCTTTCTGCCCCGCCGGTTGCCATTATTGAACTCAGTTGCAATCCACTCTCTTCTTCGTACCCGGCTTTCTTCATGAATTCGGTCGTGAGTGTGGTGCCTTGTCTTGGCCTCAAACCACAGCTCCAACAATCTACGCAGCAGTCTAGAGGCACAGCGGCAGAAATCCATGGTCGTCGGACAAAATCCAAATCAAACTGAATACAGTGTAGTTGGGGTAGACAGACTCACGGTCAAAACCAAAGGCACAGGGATAGCACGGTTCCACGGACACAAGAAAGAACATCAATATCAGTTCATCATGTCAACTAGTTACATGGTGTGCTCCGGAGCTCCAAGCGCGCACTCAAATTATTTTTTGAATTTCGGCTTTCAGCCGCTTGTACAAGCTGTGGCTGAAACAAGCCGGAAAAAAACGGCTGAGAGTCAGCCACGGCTGAAAGTCGCTTGTAGGACATTTTTCAGCCATTTCCATGGTAATAGTGACGTAAACAAGCGCTTGTTTCGGCTGAACGGCTGAATCGAGCTCGGTGTGCCCGCGGCCTAATCCGGCACTTGTTTATCCGGAACCCTTGCCAACCGGCGCCCTTTCTGACGAAACCGTACGTAGTTTGATTTCATAATCCGGCAGTCGTAAATCGCGTAGATCTACCCTACAGGTGCACTCCTTGCCGGGCCAAGCTAGGCCAGTCTGGTCAGTGCCGCGCGCGCGGGGCCACTTCAGAGTTCAGTTCAGTTGACAACTGTACTCGACCTCGCGCGGGAGAGTTCAGTTCGGTTGGTTGTTAGGACTTTTCCGAACCCTAACTCAATTTATACAAAGAGAAAGACCAAGGAACTACAAGTTACGCTATACTAGAGAGGTTCCGGGGTACGATTTTCCGTGCCAAAATCCGTGTGGGCGCTACGGATTTTTTCCAGGCGTGCTCCATACGATTTTTCGGCACGGAGAATCCGTGTGGACTGGCTTTCACACGAACCATGTTTCGTATGGAGATTTTGCGTCATCGGGTGCAGAAAGATTTTTCGCGTACAAATTTGGTACGAGAAACATGGATTTTCCGCGGGAAGTTTTGATTTCGGTACAAATTTTCAAAATAAAAAGGCATAGCGCGGGAATGTGACGTGTTTGCGATCGTAACCTAGGCAATGACGGCAAACACATAAGTTCCGTACTCCGGAACATTTTACTGCTCGAAAATGACGTATAAAAAATCCGTAGCGCCTCTACGGATTTTTGCACGAAAAATCGTACTCCGGAACCTCCCTACTAGCTACTGTCCACTAACACCACCAGTTACTACGTTTCAAAAAGATTTGCAATCTTGGCGATCGCCCGCGGAGTTTGGCGTCTTACCGTATGAGCACTCGAGCGCTGCCTGGAAAAACTCACTGTGAACTCGAAGAAATATTCCGCGCAAAAGCAGGAAAAATGACAACTCACGTTGATACAGTCATGTACGTCTGGTTTACAACAAACGAGTTCTTCCTCGTAATGGAGTCAGGAAGGACATGTCGAAACGAAAGTGTTGTAAATGTTGACGAGCGGCATGTGTCCCAATTCGTTTTGTGACCAAAATAGTTTCTTTGAGCTGCGATGCAATTTACTCACCGTGTGACGAAAACGACATCGACACGGACTCATTCCCAAGGCCATGACTTGGCAGAGCTATCCGTGTGACTTCGACGACATTTTTACAGCGCGATGACTTCCATATTCACTCACACCATTGCAGTATTGTGGGTGTGTTCACATGGCGTGAGCCAGTCAAGTGTCAGTCAGTTCGGCAGGAAGCGCGAGCTCCAACAACAAGTCGTTTGGTGCAGCCATCTTCTTTGTCTTGTACCAGCTTGATCACCAAAACAATGAAAAAAAGTTTGACTTGAGGATAGGTTGGGATTTGAACTCACAACTTCATGGCCAGCAGACAGCATTCATAACCACAAGGCCAAAAAGGAAGGGATAAATCGTGGGTTTTGATAAAAAAATCGATACTGGCTTCCTGGGCAAATTGTAAACCATGGGAAAAGGCCGGAAACCTGGCCGAAATTCTAACTCCTTAACGGCTGGTCCAATTGTTCCGAAACCTTCACAGAACAATTTGCCGTGTCCTAACAAGCCATTCTATGTACTTTGTTGTCCAAATTTCCCTTATCTTCATACTTTTTAAGACCCAAACCTGATTGTAAATCTTTTTGAAACAGACTATAAACAATCAGCTCATGCGATAACATTGCACAACACTGACCGACGGTACTGACGTTCTACAACTATTAAAGGGGAACTACACCCAAAAATCAAAACTTCATGGTCCGTAGAGTTTTGGACGCTGAGTCGAATGGTGAAGGTCCCACTTCGATCCGACCAAGCGTTCTTGAGATATACATGTATCCGTTTGCAATTGTCCTTTTCGGGTCCGTGCCGTGACGTCACAAACCCGTGACGTCATTGAGACTTGGTGATCCTTTGGCCAGATCCAGAAACACTGGGATTTCGCATCTTCTTTCTGTTTGTCCATGGAAGCAGAGGGTATTTGTGTCATCATGGCTTCTGGCTGTGTTGTTGGCTACTATAATCTTACTAGTAACCCCCCTGGGATGAACCTGCACCAATTTCTGAAGGATTGTGCTTGGCACAGGCCGAGCAGTGCACCATAGCAGCTATCAAGCGACATAATTATTTGCTTGACTATTTAGGGACTACAATGTAAATCCTTCGCGTGTGTTCCAGCCATTTGGCAGAGGAGGATTTTCAGGAGGAATATTATGCACTCAACCGATGCGGACGCTGGTGGATGAAACTGTGGTGCGTCCTTTTTCACACGCCACACTGTGAAGTGTCAGTCGAAAAGCGGAGGTGAGTGCAATATTTCAAAAACACTAGCTACTGTATGTAGTTCTTTCTTTTCCAAAGCATTTGTAGAATTGTTTTGGACTACATCACTACGAAATGTGAAGCTTTCCGAAACCGGCCTGATGAGGTGGACGGCAGTAGATCTCCTGTTTCCCTAGGCTATACTGCGTGCGATCGATGAACCTGTCTGCGATTGCTGTTCTTGATTTTACAGGAAGAAGATCAAAAGCGGCTGTACCATCGGTCGCAGTGACTCACTGTTGAGCTACGACCACTGCCACCGCCCCAAGGTTATAGGAAGGACTGTTTGCAGCGCCAGCGCCTCTAGCTGGCATGTTTTTTTCCTGTATGAACACACAGTATGTACTGCTGATAAGCTACATCACGTAATGACCCGCAGTTCAAGGAGAGAAGATAGTCCACATACCGGCAACGGTGTACACCTATTCGGGAACTCGTTGGGTTTTCTCAGTATGGATGCAGATGAGAGCCAGACATTATTATTATTGTGTGTATGCGTGCAAGCGCGTGAGTGTGCGCGCACGAGCATGAGTGTGTGCGTGCGCGCGCCCGTGCGTGAGTGTGCGCGCACGTGAGTGTGTTTGCGCGCACGCGCGTGAGAGACAGACATTATTATTATTGTGTGTGTGGGTGCACGCGCGTGAGTGTGTGTGTGCGCGCGCACGCGCGTGACACTGAGTGTGTGCGCGCGCATGCGCGTGAGTGTGTGTGTGTGTGGGCGCACTTGCGTGAGTGTGTGTGTGCGCGCACATGCGTGTGCTTTTGTGTAATGTAATATAACATTCCAAAGAGATTCACGTCATCTATTCTGTGTTCTCCTTTATGTCATTCTCTCCCCCTTGCGGGAGGGACATGGAATGACAAGTAGTAGATGCATTGCCGTTAGTGATCCTGAGGGATGTGTGGGTATGCAACCAAGTGCATGAGTGCGCGCATGTGTGCGTGCACGAGCATGTGCACAGGCACTTGTATGCTTATGCACTCGTGTGCGCACGCGCTTGTGAAATTGCGTGTCTGCGTGCGTGAGCATGTGTGACTACTATACTATGTGCCCACCAAGGTGAGCACATGTGCGTGTGTGTGTGTGGGGCGCAGGCGGATATGTGCACACATTTTAGAATGATAATCAAGGACAGAGCTGTTCCGGTAATGCAGTCATGAGACACCACAGTAGGGCAAAACGCGCTCAATATGCTACTGTGCTGCTGCTGCTAGAGTGCACAGCGTAATTGTTGGTACACAGCTACGTGAAATACAAGAGAACGTCTCAGCATTCTGTAAAGACTAAGTGATAATGCGAAAGGTGAGAATGTATTTCGCCACAATACGAATTGAGGTGCAGTTCATTTATGTGAGATAAAGCACAAGTGAACCGATACACATTGCACGACTTGCACGGAGATAATGCTAGCCATGTTACGCAGCAAACTCCATGTACAGGAGTACGAGTGAGGAGACTATTGATCTGAGTACTGTGCGAATACAAAATTTCACACAATTTACGATATGAAGAGAACGATTCGATTTGTGAGCATTACGTAGGACTATACTGTGAAAACACTTACGGATTGTCAGGGTTGTCTGAGCTGCTTTGGCTGCCGCTTCATTTCGAAATAGCCCAGCCAACCGGTTGCCAGATGTTGCTGATGGAGAGCGACTTCTCCAATTGCAGTAATTTCTGCTTCATCCACATTTACAGCCCGAATGGAAGCCACCGCTTGCGCTGCCATATCCTTTCCTGAAAATTTCGGCTCATGCTCGAAGCCAAACATTTTCAGCTCAGGCTCTGAGCTTTCAAGCTCGTCTGATACGTCGGAATCGCTCATGGTGAGGACGTCTTTGTCAGAACTATTCCTTTCACATACCAAAATACCTGTACTTCTGAGCTTGGCCCAGGCAAGCGAGTCTCAATGACGTAGAAGGGCGTGTTGGGGGTGTGTCGCGGCCGCATGACGTCATGGCGCGTCCCCCGAAAGTACAATTTAAACCGAAGATATCTCAGGAACGCTTGGTCGGATCGAAGTGGGACCTTCACCATTCGACTCAGCGTCCAAAACTCTACGGACCATGAAGTTTTGATTTTTGGGTGTAGTTCCCCTTTAAACTACAACTTTCGACCTGCATGATGTCGACTGCTTGCGTGGCCTTCTCAAGAGGGTCAATGTTGTCCAGGAGACAACGGCTAAGCAGTCAACCATACTTTCTTATTTTAGCAAGGAGTAGTGTCCTGCCAATTTTCAGGTGTGTGTGCGTGTGTGTGCAAGAGTACATGTGAACATGTTATCTGTTTTACTTTATCACTTTATCACTGTGTATATTCCTGGAGAACAGTTGAGAATATAAAGCCGTGCACCAAATACTTGGGTCGACACGGAAAACCCTGCGTTTTGACGTATGATGCATGCATGCAATTGGGTAGGGCCGGGTCAGAGGGCAGGATTTCTTAATCCAGCACCCTCGTTAATCCAGCAGAAAACGCCGTAGCAAAAGGTGCCGGATTAGAGAGGGACGATTGTATATACGGAAACTGGAACTACAAAAAGAAGAAGAAATGCACAAAAGTTAGCGCATAAATCTAAAGATAGTTGTGAAGAACAGTGATATAAAAATACAGCACACATGGAAGAAATATGCAGAGGAACTAAACAGTGGAATTCGTACTCCCGGCAGCTAGGAACCACACTGTACATCAGCCACCATCTTGAACCTTCAGGCGAATAGCTTCCAAAGCCGTGTGGGGTTCTTTGGCTGCCTTGCCGTCCACACAGACCCTGCAGAATTGAAAACGAAAAACACGGAGCAAACACATGTTAGTACATGTACTGCCATACCAATGTGATGTACACTTGATAACTGCCGAAAGAGAAAGAGAAGAACAGTAACAATTCTAGGTGTAAATGTGCCCAAAGAAAATCGATTGCAATCTTAAAGTAAACTCCGGTTAAAGATTGAAATCCAAGGGTGCGTAGAGTCTTGGGCACTGGTCTTAATTATTAGGTCTTGGCCTGCGGATGCTATGCTGCATCAAGTATGCCCAATCCAAATTGAGGATGCATTCTACCTCTTGCAATCATGCAGCCATCATTATGTGCAATCAGGTTTATTTAAAAAAAAAATAGTTCCCACCGTCCAACCCGGCAAATATTTAGATTTTGATAAAAACGATTCAAAGGCTCTCAATTATTTTGTAATACTTGAAGTATAAATATAAGAATATTATACTTTCACACAAAACAAGTTCGGTGCAGCACGAATCACGGCAGGGGAACCCGACCCTCCACCATCGCCAACTCACGAAGCATGTGAACTGGACGGTGACGGGCCGACCGAGCACCCCTGACACACAAGACAGCGGAACGTAGCAGCGCGAAAGACACCCCACAGCGATAGTATCCCATCAAAGACGAATAGCTACCTCCCGAAGATTGAGATGTGAGCAGGCAAAGGCGCCAGAGGAAGGCCTGTGCAACCAGGTACTAGCAATGTAGTCATCTTGAATGCAAGTCAGGTACACATGCTGCCATCTTGAGAGAAGGATGGCTAGTGCGTTCGATGTTGCGAGGCAATGTCAACGTGTTGTCGAACCAAGACCACTTGACTCAATGCCAAGAGCACTAAACAATAGTTCTGTTGATGTTTCAGCACGTGTGAATTAATTAAGGCTCATCATTATGGAAAATCACATGTGTGGCTTACCTTGCATTTTAGTATGAAGTGCAAATCGTCAGGTGGTGCCTCTGTCTGATATCTTGTGGGAAGCCACCAGTAGTATACGACCAATCGGAGTGAACAGTGGAGGCCGCGGCCATCCAGGCTTCTGCGCCTGGTTTGGATTTGTATCCAAGAATTCTCATGCATCGAAACAGTCTTGGACCCGGTAGCTCGAGGGCTCTCTTTCGGCAGGCGAGCTGGGCTTCACGGAACGTGCGGCCTTGCTCCGGGGTATCTACAAGATACAGGTTTGCACCACCGGAGCATGGGAACGGCTCTGCACAAGGATCACAACAGACAGGAGCGCGTGTAGATCTGTATAGTCCACCCTTTTCAGGTTATCTACGGATATTTCCCCTCAAACGAGGGGAACTGATATCCACAGGCAATCATCTGGATCCCCTCGGACCCAGTCCTTCTACCAGCATAGCCAAGAGAGCTAGATTAGTGAAACAAAACTAGGGAAGTGGCAATCTTTCTATCAGCAACAAATAAGAGCATCTTAATTTGCAACATACTACATGAACCGGGTGTGCCGAACACCGGTAACCATAGAGACAGACTACACCCTCATGTAGATACTGGTTATAAATAGACCGAGTAAGGAAAAGAATCCGATAGCCTTTGGAGAGTAAAAGAAATTGTATCAATGACAACAAATGCTATTCCGCCACACAAATTGTCATAGAAAGATTGAACGAAATGACAAAGACACAATAGTAATGAGCATGGCCGTTCAATATAATTATTTCGTTCTTATATTTAGAAGTATTACAAAATAATTGAAAGGCTCTGAATCGTTTTTATCAAATCTAAATATTTGCCGGGTTGGAAGGTGGGAATGGCCGTTCAATAGCTTCTAGTACAGTATTTGGAAATTTCCTTCTTTCACAGACCTGAAAGACTAATGTTTGTAGCAGTTAGCCTACTACTAACTCAATGTCATTGGTTCTAGGTGAACCCATTCACGCTTTACTGCTTTTTTTTTACTATTATTCACAAACCCAACTCGTAAAATATATAATTACCGTAAAGTCGCGGATAAAAGCCGGGCTTATAAGCACATAAGCCGCTTTCTGCATCAGGCTTCAATGCAAACCAGGTTTGTATGCAAAATGGAAGTTTCCGGAGGAGGAAGGAGGAAACTGTAGTTATCACCAACCCTCACCGCGCCCAGCTCACGCCGCTACGGCGTGCGACCTGAGCTGGGCGCCCTGCCCAGTATGGAACTGTCCTCAAGCCAGTCACGTATTTGGCAGCCCAGTGAGCTGTCTACCGGATCGCAGCGTTTAGAAGCGCCAAATGCGGCAGGGCCAGTCTCAGGCTGGTCGCGTAGGCGGCAGGCCGGCGGGCGACCGGCAAGGCTGCATTCGCATTTGGATCACCGAAGTGATACAGGTGCTTCGACGGCACTCCGTGGCGCAGCAAGGAGGCATCTGGGGCCCAGGCAGCCCGCCCGTAAGCGCACCACCGTATCAGGTATGCGCAGGTGGAGCAGCAGAGCAAGATGTGTGCCGGACACTCACCATCATCCGGTCGACTGCATGGTTGTGCGACTTTACACAGCCGTCACTCATTACTTGCTATTGCTTGCAGAAGGCCAGAATTTTTTTGCTCTCGTTTACTCTAAAGCTAGTTGGTTTACATGGTTTATACTCTCCTAGGTATCGGCGCACAGGAGTAACAACGATTCCGAGACCTTTGGTCGGAGGAGTTACTTTTGCCCCGCCCCCACTTCCATCCAATATGCCACCGCCCCCGCTGTGCAGCATCTGATGGTACTGTGGTATTCAGTAAAAAAAAAAAAAAAAAAAAAAAAAAAAAAAATACCCGTACCTGAGCATGGATCCTACTCAGCAGCGGATCGCTGGTATTCCGCGTTTGAGACCGCGGCGACGGCAGCGTCGGCCCTGACCAACAACCCTCGGGCGATGAGCATGCCGGCCGAAAATGCAGGCATGGACACTGTCGTGTATGACCAGTTTAGTTGAGTTCCTTGGAGGCGCTATGATGCCGGCCGGCGCATGTGTTGGCGCACGGGAGACGATTAGGACAATACGGCGTGCGGAATACTTCGAGCTGGCCACAATGCTTCCTTCCCGTCCTGCCCACACGCAGCCAGCAGCTAAACGTGTTAGAATCGATCAATCCGATGGCAATCACTGAATGGAATTGTCATTGGCGGCTCCTCTTCTGGCAAGAGAAAAACTGAATCTCTAATCTAACTGGGTCGAGGCCTGGCAGACTTTCAGAACCATCGCGCCTTGCAACACGAGCTTACGCCCTCTGGGGCCCTAAGTAGTCCGACAAGAAATTCATACTGCACGGCGACAAAAGGCAGTTGGAGCAGTCTGAAATCCGGGACTTGCCGAAATCCAACCGTGACGGAACTAGCCCACTTCAGCCCCCGCATGGTAGCAGAACACAAGGCTTTATCTCGCTGACTACCCATATTACGGTCACGGACAACTCCGCTGCGGACGCTCTTTCACGCGGACGATTAGTCCATTTCCTCGCATCGGCTCCCTAATCCAGCTGCTGGACTCGGCTTAGTCCCGAACTCATGCTATGCGGGAGCAACTAATCATGGCAGCAAACCGGCTGAACTTCTTCTCAACCAATGCGTGCCTCCCTTTTTCATTCGCTGTGTAGTCTATCTCTCTCAGCACACGTGGGTAAGCACGCATGCACACACACACCCACGCACACGCATACATACATACATACATACATACATACATACATACATACATACATACATACACACACACACACCCATACTCTCTCTCTCTCTCTCTTTATCCTCCTCTCCTCCATCCCTCGCCCTGCTTCGCCTCTAAGTGCTGTCGCTCCCCTCCCCTTCCTACTCGTACTAGGCGGCATTACACCAAGTCTCAGCATGTGGGGTCTACTTTGCTGTTTTGGGGCTTTGTTTGGACATGGCAAGCTGTTATCTTTTTCCTTGCGGCTGTCGTCGCTGTTGCCATTGTTGTTTAGGTACCACGGCGAGCCGGCAGTACGTGCCGGTGTTGGCGGGCTGGCGACCTTGTTTTACTTTCAGTAATTAACACTTTACCCGAGGTGCGACGGATTAATCCGTCACGACCGCGCAGGGCATATTGCAGACACGCGTATGTGCGTTACACACACACACTCACACATTATGCGCACCCGGCGGGCAGGGCGATTGGCCCATGCTGCTTATTCAGTTGTACTAGCGGAGGCGGGGGCGATTCCCCTACGTAATCGCCCATGCGGCGGAATACCCGGCGGCCTGATACGGCGGCGTTGCGAGCAAATGCAGGGGTGGTTCCCTTTTGAGCTCTGTTTGTGGCGGCGGCAGAGGCAGGGGCAGCGCCCCTAGCCCATGCGGCGGTTGACCCGGCGGCCCGACATGGCAGCTGGCCCAGCGGTCCGATATGGCAACTGACCCGGCGGTCTGATATGGCGGCTGACCCAGCGGTCTGATATGGCGGCTGACCCAGCGGTCTGATATGGCGGCTGACCCAGCGGTCTGATATGGCGGCTGACCCAGCGGTCTGATATGGCGGCTGACCCGGCGGTCTGATACGGCGGCTATGCGAGCAAATGCAGGGGCAGCGCCCCTTTGCGCGTGTTGTTTGCGGCGGCATTGGTCAAGGCAGCGGCAGCGCGCCTCGCCTGGGTGGCGTTATGCCCGGCGCTGCGGCTATGTTTGCAAAACGCAGGGGCCGCTCCCCTTTGAGCTTTGTATGTTCACAGCTATGTTTGCAAGATTCAGGGGCAGCTCCCCTTGGGGCCTGGTACAGTTGTGTTTGCAAAAAGCAGGGGCAACTCCCCTCCGAGCCTTGTATGTAATCGTTTACAGCGATGCTTGCAGAAAGCAGGGGCAGCTCCCCTTAGTGCGTGGTATGTTTACAGCTATGTTTGCGAGGAAGAAACAAAAAAAAGGGCTTGGAGCTGGGTATGTTTACGGCCACGTTTGCAAAATGCAGGGGTAGCTCTCCTTGGAGCTTTAGCTAGTTGACAGCTACGCGACAAAATGCAGGGACAGCTCCCCTTGGAGCTTTGGATGTTTACAGCTATGTTTGCAAAATGCAGGGGCAGCTCCCCTCGGAGCTTTTAAAACTAGTTTACAGCTGTGCGGACAAAATGCAGGGGCAGCACTCCTTGAAACTTTGGATGTTTACCACTATGTTGGCTAAATGCAGGGGCAGTTCCCCTTGGGGCTTGGATGTTTACAGCCAGGTTTGCAAAATGCAGGGGTAGCTCTCCTCAGAGCGTTGTAGGTTTACAGCTAGGTTTGCCAAATGTAGGGGCAGCTCCCCTTGGGACTTTGGATGTTTACAGCTATATTTGCAAATACAGGGGCAGCTCCCCTTGGAGCCTTCTAGTTCTACGTTTACAACTATGTTTGCATAATGCAGGGGCAGCTCCCCTTTGAGCTTCGTAGGTTTACTGCTAGGTTTGCAAAACGCAGGGGTAGCTCCCCTTTGGAGCTTTGGATGTTTACAGCTATGCTTGCAAACTGCAGGGGCAGTTCCCCTGGTAGCTTTTGAAGTTGGATGTTTACAGGTGTGGTCGCAAAATGCAGGGGCAGCTCCCCTGGGAGCTTTGGATGTTTACAGCTATGTTTGCAAATGCAGGGTCAGCCCCCCCTTGGAGCCTTGGATGCTTACAACTATGTGTGCAAAATGCAGGGACAGCTTCCCTTTGAGCTTTGTTGGTTTACAGCTAGGTTTGCAAAACGCAGGGGTAGCTCCCCTGAGCTTTGGATGTTTATAGCTATGCTTGCAAAATGCAGGGGCAGCTCCCCTTGGAGCCTTGGAAGTTTACAGCTATGTTTGCAAAATGCAGGGGCATTTCCCCTTGGAGCTTTGTATATTTACAGCTAGGCTTGCAAAATGCAGGGGCAGCTCTCCCTCGGAGCGTGGTTTGTTTGCAGCTGAGATGGGGAGTGCAACCGAAGATCTCCTTTCGAGCTTGCTTGTTCGCATTTGCTTGTTAGCACCGTAGCTCGGGCACCCAGCAGGTCCTGACTGGCCCTTAGCGCATACTCCCGGCCACATTTATTGCCTGTTGCAGGATAGGGGCCTCACCCCATATTTTTTTTGGACGATCGGCGGGCGGGAAGCCGCAAAATACAAGAATAACTGAGAAACTAATAATTGTGTACGACGCGCCAACCCTTTGGCTCTGTTGTCGGCTCTGCGGGGGGCACCCAGGCATCCCCCTCGTGCGAACACCACCCGTGGAAGCGGAAAAGTTGTGACGGCGTATTCAGTAGTGCCCAGCACCAGCAGGACCTACCAATCAGGGGAAAGCCTAGCAGTCCTTCATGGCAATTCCCTTGGTAGACCCCCTCAAGCTGACACAGGATCTGGCCACCAGGAAGGGGCCTGGACGGCAGCTCTAGGTCACCGGAAGGTGGTCAGGGTTGACCCGCAAGAGATGCATGTGCGGGGAGCCTTTGACTAAGCGGCTACCCCTTGGGGCCAGAGAAAGCGGTCTTGAGGGGCAGGTGGTCCTTAGTTGGAAAGCTTGCACCGCAAACTATGAATGTGAGACCGTCCGTGCCCGGCGAAGGTGTCCATAGTACCAGGCGGGTAGCTAGTCACACTTGTATCCAACACGACAGCCCTTCGGCTGTTGTCTGCCCGGCTTGGGGCGCCCAGGTATCCCCCCGTGCGAACACTACCCGCGGAAGCTGACAAGTCGTCAGCGTATTCAGTAGTGCCCAGCACCAGCAGGAGCTATCAACCAGGGGAAAGCCTAGCAGTCCTTCATGGCAATGCCCTTGGTAGACGCCCTCAAGCTGACACAGGATCTGGCGGCCAGGAAGGTGCCCGGACGGCAGCTCCAGGCCGCCGGAAGGTGGTCAGGGTTGACCCGCAAGAGATACATGTGCGGTTGAGCCTGTGGCTAACGACCACCCCTTTAAGCCAGAGAAAGCGGTCCTTGGTGGCAGGTAGTCCTGGCTGCAGGCTTGCACCGCACAACCATTATGAATGTGAGACCGTCCGTGCCCGGCAAAGTGGTCGGTAGTACCAGACTGGTCGCTGGTCACGGTGGTCTTTAGCTACTGGTTTCACTGTATACCGAATCAGGTATGCCATAACAGGTCTACAGCGAACAGCACAGAGATCGACGGGACCAAGAATAGGGGATAGCGTGCGGCGAGGCCACCCCCATTATTTTTGGGAGGCACGGCTTCATGTTAGAGCAGTAAATTGCAGTTAGGGACTCAGCTGAGTCAAGCTGGACTCAGCGTGTCAAGTTTGGCATAATACAATAAGCGCGCTATCCCCAAACAGTTGCGTGGGTATTGTGTGAGTGTATATGCAGGAGTCCGCGGTCACGTGAGGGGGGAGTGATAAATGGAAGTTTCCGGAGGAGGAAGGAGGAAACTGTAGTTATCACCAACCCTCACCGCGCCCAGCTCACGCCGCTACGGCGTGCGACCTGAGCTGGGCGCCCTGCCCAGTATGGAACTGTCCTCAAGCCAGTCACGTATTTGGCAGCCCAGTGAGCTGTCTACCGGATCGCAGCGTTTAGAAGCGCCAAATGCGGCAGGGCCAGTCTCAGGCTGGTCGCGTAGGCGGCAGGCCGGCGGGCGACCGGCAAGGCTGCATTCGCATTTGGATCACCGAAGTGATACAGGTGCTTCGACGGCACTCCGTGGCGCAGCAAGGAGGCATCTGGGGCCCAGGCAGCCCGCCCGTAAGCGCACCACCGTATCAGGTATGCGCAGGTGGAGCAGCAGAGCAAGATGTGTGCCGGACACTCACCATCATCCGGTCGACTGCATGGTTGTGCGACTTTACACAGCCGTCACTCATTACTTGCTATTGCTTGCAGAAGGCCAGAATTTTTTTTCTTCTTTTTTCGCTCTTTCCCTTCTTCCAGGCACGGCTTCATGTTAGAGCAGTAAATTGCAGTTAGGGACTCAGCTGAGTCAAGCTGGACTCAGCGTGTCAAGTTTGGCATAATACAATAAGCGCGCTATCCCCAAACAGTTGCGTGGGTATTGTGTGAGTGTATATGCAGGAGTCCGCGGTCACGTGAGGGGGGAGTGATAACCATGCTTATATGCACCACTGATATTTTTGCCAGGCTTGTATGCACATCGGCCGATCCGGGCTTGCATAGAAGCCAGGCTTCTACGCGCAACATGCGTACCACTGACTACCGGTATGGCGGCAGTTTTACTATGCACTGTACATAGCGCATGCACTCTTGACCTACTCGATCCGCGCTTGCATAGAAGCCAGGCTTCTACGCGCGACAGGCTTATATGCATTGACCCGTTTGATTTTCAGGCTTCTATCCGCGATGTGCTTGTATGCAAACCCGGCTTTTATCCGCGACTTTACGGTATTCCCTGCAGGGTGAACATCAATTCTGAACAGCCTGCTGTCTTTCTGACATTGTACTCGCACTTGACAAAAGAAGCAGTTTTCCATAATTATGTGCAGTTATATTGAGCTAGGGTGTTTGTTTGTTTGTGTGAATCCTTCCCAGAAGCAAATGCCGGTTTTTATACATCGCGTAATCACGGTACTCAGCGTTATTTGCAATAAGAATACGCCAACCATTCTCACTAGATACTTATGAATGTCCTACTTTGGATCAAATGTGGGATTCAAAGGGCTCTTACTTATATTGTTTGCAAGCTTGATATCCTCGCGGTGCACAGCTGTTTCTAAAAACCAGTAGAAAAAAAAAGAATACAATCATCGCATGACAGTAGGCCTCGGCGGGTAATGCTAGCATTGTAACTGGCAATACGACCATCGTTTTGAGAACTAGCAATGCTCCAGCATTGTACCCGGATTTGGAGCCAAAACAAGCATTAGCGCCCAAAAGCTACGGTGTCATTTTCTCACTTCATGAGTGTGCATTACTGAATAAAACAGGAGATCTACACACTGTACTTTGTACCAGCGGCTTTTGGCAGTTTTGCTTAAACGTTAGCCTGCGACTTCGCAACATGCGTCTCTTGTTGCGAATCTTAGTGGCAGCTGCTAGGTATAGACGTACCACGTTGATGCCATCATGGGAAACGGAAAGAAACCTTGTCTTTCCTATTCACAGAGTCATGCAGTGCTGGCTTGCTTGCACCATGAGTACATCAAATGGAAATGACTGTGTTGGAAGTCTCTGATTCTTCGGAGGAAGAGAGTGAGGAAGATGAGTACGAGACAGAGGAGGATAATAAGGAAGACGAGAACGAGGCAGAGGTGGAGGATGAGCCCGGTGAGGCATGCGCACGACTGCCCAAAGCCAAAGGAGCAAGCATATCGAGGGATAGATCACTTATATTGTACTTTTTCATACCACACAATATACTAAATTTCCAAAATAGCATTCCGTATGCACCCTCAAAGTACTTTGAAGACTGTCGACGTAGGGTTCTGATTTACTGTTATTCACTGCTAGTTCATGATAGCAACTTCAGTTCCACATCATTTTGAAATAGCATCACCATATAATCTACTTTCAAAGTACTAGGTACTTCCAATAGCAGTATTCCGTGCAGTGTGACTTACATCATGACACAATGCCATATGAGTGGTTCACATTGCCTTTTCAACTAGCATTACAAGTGCAAATTAGCATTCTAACGAGCATTATATGACCGAATAACTAGCAATGCTAAAAGCATTTTGAGCTGAAATAACTAGCATTACCCGCCGAGGCCTACATGACAGAATGGACAGGCAATGAAACCCCCAACACTAACAACAGAATATAAAAGAAACGTGGGCACGAGTTCGAGTCACTGCCCAATACTGTACCTACAATGCAGATGATAAGCAGTCGTTTGGCACAAAACTGAGACAGACTACAACATTTAATGATGTACACGTTCGTTGCGCTTGTAGATTTTCAGAGTTGACATATAACCACCTAACGCCTATATTCATTCCACCACGGCACATCACTAATGCTGCTACGTACGATTGCTTGACATAAGTACAGGCACGAACCGTAAAGTAATTATCTCAAGTTGAAAGGTTATTAGTAAAGATAGGAGGTAAAAGGGAAAGGTGAGCGCCGCGATTTTTGCACAAGCTACGTTCGAAGGCAAGAGAAATTCTTGAATGATATATAGGACACTGTGGCATTGCCTCCAGCTGTTTGTTGTTGTTGTTGATGTTTATTAAACTTCGGAAGGCAAAACGGGCAATGGTGCCCAATCCTATGGAAGCGAACTTCAACGGGAGAGAGAGCTACGGGGGGGGAGAGAGAGAGAGAGAGAGAGAGAGAGAGAGAGAGAGAGAGAGAGAGAGAGAGAGAGAGAGAGAGAGAGAGAGAGAGAGAGAGAGAGAGAGAGAGAGAGAGAGAGAGAGAGAGAAATCCCTACGTAGCATTATGTCTCCATTCTGATGTAGCATTGGCAAAGTGTAATTCCAACCTTCTCCTTTTTTCATTTGTTTTGCTTCCTCCCTCTCTTACCAGTTCTCATCCCACGTATCTCATCAATCAAGCGAAAACAGGAAACCCCCTCGACAGGCGAACAGCCTTTGAGGAATCCCTAAATAAATGAATACAGATACAAACCGAACATTAGCCTTACAGACAGTCATTATTGATACTTACGGAAGTCAATTGGGACACACAAGAAGCTATTCTTATGTCCGGGTTTGACGGAGCGACTGGGCAGAGCCGAGGTCTGTGGATCCGCGCTTAAATCTGCAACCATGCTTTCCGAATTCCACGTAGAATTTGGTGCGTCACCGAAGCACTTGCTGGCTGTGGCACTGAATTGCACATGGGTGAATCCTTCGCTTGGCAGCCGCATTTTGCGCGATTGGCATGCATGATGAGCCTCCAAATATGTGACAGGAAGGTGAGCGTAATAGACTTGAACTCCTGCGCATACCTTGGTGGCTGGAGATAGCAAGGCAGAAAACGGGACATTGCAGCATAAATCATAGTCCAGGTGTCGACGCCGTTTGGGAATTCCCCCTAGTCAAACAGTCATGGTCTATGGCTTTAGTTTAGATTGATGTTTCGCGCCCGCTCCCTCTCACGCTTGGTTCCTCCGCCTCCCCTCCCCTCCCCACATCCTTCGTCCTTTCACTTTGCCACCACCTAGTGTTTGCTGTCCGGCCCACGGAGGTGTCTCTTCGATGGGATAAGTTTGTCACATCAGAAAGTTTTTAAACTAAAAAAAACGTTGGCGTGGAGACAAGAAACCTAATATCCATGAACGTAAAGCACTCATACCACGAGAACAATGGAACAATATTTGAAGATTTCAACATCGTTTTCATTAGAAAGTGGTGAATAAAGGAGAAACACTAAGTGTTCACTGCATGTAGTTATATATGGAAAACATGGATGGAGTGAATGGGATTTTCGGCCTTTGACCGCTTGCTGGTGAGCTTATCTACTCACCTTCCATCGCTTTAGGGGCTGCATCTGCGCCTTGGTCCTTGAAAGGTGGTGGCGTTCCTACTGATGCGGAAAACTCTAGCCGAGTCTTCTGCGAACTGTGCTGTTTTTAAAGTTCTTTTTAACGTCGTTATACCTACTACCATGGTGGTTTCTTGTTTCCCTGCATGGGTGTACAGTAGATGTTGGTTGGTTGGTTGGACTTATTTAAAGTCGTACAACAAACAGGCATTCACGAGTAACCTCGCTGGTTGCACTGTTCAAATTATCCGCTGGGCGTAGATTCCTACAGACTTCCCCTGTTCCATGACATGTTGCTCATCTCACTGAAGTCACACGCAGTCGATGAAAAACTTGTTTTTGCAAAACAAACGAAATAATGGCTAATTTTTCACAAAAAAATGGCACCGCAGGTGAAAACTAATTCCCTCCAGAGCTCTTGCTGTGTTGCTCCAATCCTATAATAATTATTCAAATGATTAATAATTATTGTTCATGCTACCGCACGTGCATAAATGCATTAAAAAAATTTGTTCACCCTCCAAGGGCAAAAGCCAATGCAATGAAGGAGGCGTTAGCCAGCCATAGTATTAGACTTCGAAATTTTGAGTACTAGTACCGGCACATGTATTTAAACTAAAGACGCGCATTCGAGGAACGGTAAACTAAGCTGCGACAATGTATGTATCTGTGTGAGAAAACCGGCTCTAAATCTTACCGATTGGTCGGCATTCTGGAAGGTTGTAGTATGTATAATAATAAGTCGTCGATGTGTACCAGAGTCCAGTTGACTCTTCTACCGTTCGCGCAAGCTTGTACGAAGCCCAATCTCCGTTGTAGCCTCTGATACAGTTACCAGTAGCACAGTGTTCAAAGAAACCTTGCTGGCATCCGAATACGAGATGAGGTGCAATATTACCATGGTATCCAATGCGGGTAATGGTCACACCTCTAACTGAATAGCCGGTCGGAAACTCTGAAACCACAACGACAAGGGCAACAATGCCAAACCCAACACGAACAACACCACCAACATCAACCAATGAAAACAACGGAGGTGCGAGCAGATCAGACAATATACCGTATACCGAATATATGGTATATGGTTTATAATAGAGCGGTTTGTCAACTGAAAACCTCTCTATTTAGTTGCTATTCACTTTTGGCACATGCGCTGGATGAAAGTTCTTTTATTAGTGATGTCGAAAAATATTATTGACGTTTCGGGCCAGTCACCCATCGTCAGAACAATTTACAAGCGGCGATTTTTCTGACGGATTATTTTTACGATTTGTTAGTTTGAGCCACATAAATGCGAATATTAGAAGGATGAGAAAGGAAAAAGACATATGGAAACGAGAGCATGTCTGAGAATACCAAAGTATGTGTGTAAGGCCGCGGTCACACATGAAAAGCTTGCACCGCTTTTGCGGAGGCGGAAAGCGGAACTACCGCAGCCGCTTTGGCGGACCACACGATGCAGCGGTCACACATACATGTATAGTCTGTTTCAAAAAGATTAGCAATCAGGTTTTGGTCTTAAAAAGTATGAAGATAAGGGAAGATTGGACGACGAAGTACATAAAAGGGCTGGTTAGGGCACGGCAAATTGTTCTGTGACGGTTTCGGAACAGTTGGACAAGCCGTTTTAAAAGGAGTTAGAATTTCGGCCAGGTTTCTGGCCTTTTCCCATGGTTTGCAATTTGCCCTGGAAGCCAGTATCGATTTTTCTATCAAAACCCACGATTTATCTTTTCCTTTCTGGCCTTGTGGTTATGGATGCTGTCTGCTGACCATGAAGTTGTGAGTTCAAATCCCAACCTATCTTCAACTCACACTTTTTTCATTGTTTTTTGGTGATCAAGCAGACTTGTTGTTGTTCACGGTTGTTGTTGTTGGAGCTCCCGCTTCCTCCCGAACTGACTGACACTTGACTGGCTCACGCCATGTGAACACACCCACAACACTGAAACGGTGTGAGTGAATACGGAAGTCATTGCGCTGTAGCTACGTGTTGAATACACCGGCACATCGATCGATCGATTTCTTTTTGAGAATTATTTTAGTATTTCAAGATCGCCAATTTATTTGAATTTAGAAGTCAACGCCGTCTTATATCAGCTTCTACATGCAGGCGTCTGCTTTTCTCAGAATGTTGTCGAAGTCATACGGATAGCTTCGCCAAGTCATGGCCTTGGGAATGAGTCTGTGTCGATGTCGTTTTCGTCACATGGTGAGAGTAAATTGCATCGCAGCTCAAAGAAACTATTTGGTCACAAAACATATTGGGACCCATGCCGCTCGTCAGCCTCGGCATTTACTACACTTTCGACATGTCCTCTCGATCTCTGACTCATAATCGATACGAGGAAGAACTCGTTTGTTGTGAACCAGACGTAACATCGACCTGAGTGAGTTGTCATTTTTCATGCTTTCGCGCGGAATATTTCTTCGAGTTCACAGTGAGTTTTTCCAGGCAGCGCTCGAGCGCTCATACGGTAAGACGGCAAACTCCCCGGGCGATCACCAGGATTGCTAATCTTTTTGAAACTGACTGTAGACTACTGTGCTCCTCAACGCTCCGCTTTGGCGGAGAGAATGCAAATGCAGCACGTCCTATGAAATTTTAGATGTTCTTGTCCGAGTTGAAGCGACCTTCGCTTGTACATGTAGAGCTATCGTGGATCGCTGACAGGCTGCGGAATGTCTCCTGTCAAGTACACTCGTGGATTTGGGGCGCATTCACTGCGGCCCAGTACAGATGTATTTGAATATTGCTAGTTTGGTTTACATCAATATCAAATTCAAATAGTTGTATAGCAGGGTGTCGTTGCCTCCTTCTTGTCCGAGTTGAAGCGACCTTCCCTTGTACAAATAGAGCTATCGTGGATCGCTGACAGGCTGTTGTTGTTGTTGTAGAAGTTTATTTAACGTCGCACCACAAACAGGCGATTTCGCCTCCTTTGATACATGTGGACGACAGAAGGAATGAGAGAGAGGGGGGGGGGACAGAAGTATGGAGAGAGGAAGGGTAGAAATAAATAAGCAATCAACCTCAGGGCTACACCAAAGCAAAAACGGATGCGCAAACACACGCACACAGAAGGAGTTCGATTATCATCACTTGCCTAACTTGGTGACATGGGGTAGGTGACAGATGTAGCTGCCCTCCGTGTTTTGGCAAGTTGACGGATAAACGGTGTCACTCGTACAGAGGAGGTCATTTTGGTTACATTCATTAATATCTATGGAAGATACAGGCAAGAGTTATATGAGCATTCACAATAAATATAGTCAGCCTAGAGCCCACAACATCATGCGCGTTCGCGCCCGCACACACAAACACACACATGGACACGCACACGCACACACACATACAAGAACACACACACACACACACACGAATTCACGGACAAGCCCACAGTTAACTAGTTACACTCATCTTTCCTCCGTAAACAAAGTAAGACGAAACAAAACGCTACAGTGGAGTTGGAGAGTGCTAACTAATGGAACGCATACACGACTGGTTTGGAGAATTGGGTTTTCGTTCCTTCAAGCTGGCTTGTGCATTAGTGTTTTTAACTTTACAATTCTACATGTATATGACCATGGTTCATCTATAATCCGGCACCATTTGTGCGGAAATTCTTTGCAAGGGGGGGGGGAGGGTGATGGTTTTGAAAATCTGATTTTCTGCTGCAATGTGGCTTGCATGAAAAGGACACTTTGGTTGCTGAAAAGTATGCTGGCTCATGGAGGGTGCTAGTTTATAAGTCCTGCATTAAAGAGGGGCGATCGTACTGCTCCGGGCTGGAAGCGTACAACTGTGACACTACACAACGTGATGTGAGTTTTCGCCTTCCGCGAACCCCATAGAAAGGGTATCAGGAGTTACACACTCCTGAGGGCTTATAATATAAGTATATACTCTTGGTAACATGATTCATGGCGGAGTTCATGCTAAGGTCGATGTGGTGTATAAATCAAAATTAGAAACAGCGAGTATTGAAAAGGCATTTCACTACTCCCTGCTTAGAGCAGAGACAACATCACCCGTTGCGTCAAAGCCTTTCTCAACTCGAGAGAGAGAGAGAGAGAGACTTGAGATGCTAGATAACACACGACTTACCGCTACACCAACCAGTTTCTTTTATATAATAGTACCCTGGTTGACATTGAGCTGCATGATGATCAAAAGACAATTTAAAAAACGAAAAGGTTAGAGAATCATCTCTTCAACACCTTCACAACCAAAGTCTTCTACTGCAATTGCAATTTAGCACAACAGTGTACGGTTTATGCAGGCATAGCGGTTTAGCACTTTTTCAACATATTTTGAGGGACGCGAAAAGCACTACAGTCCATTTCAAAACTATAGACGCGTAGGGTTTTTGAAATATTTCAAATTTGGCTGGAACTTTTTGAGAATAGTTTTCGGAATATTGCTCAGGACCGCTCCACAATTACTCTCATATAGTTTCTAAACGGTTGGATGATCACAGATTTTATGTGGTATAGATGCTGGCATAACGGTTTTTGCCTAGGTACGCGTCTATAGTTTTGAAATGGACTGTAAGTGCAAATTAAAAGAGCACCTTTGGGAAAGGGCTAGTGGTGGCGTTCCAGCGGATGAGGAAAATTCGGTCTCCAGCCGAGTCTCACGCCAACCGCGAATCCTTCCTTTTCTTTTTCGTTAAAGATTTTCTCCTGTAATCCTTCTTCTTGTCTGTTGCACACGCGAATACATACACCCAATTTCATACGGGTATTGTGTGTTTCGTTTGTGGTGTGCATGGACATGCATACACTCTCGCTTGCTTTCGCTACTAAAGGCCAGGTTCGCCCCTTGTCACGTTGAAACTGTTCTGACGATGGGTGACATCACAAATAAAGAATAATTCGTCCTGCGGATGCGCCGAATGTGAATAGCAACTGAATAGAGCTGTTGTAACTTGACAACCCCCCCCCCTTTATTTATAATTCAGTTGCGTGATGTCCACCACTTTCTTTGTGAATCCTTCTTCTGGTGAAAATAATGACAGCTCTGTGCAAGTACATGTGTGTGTGTGTGTGCGCGTGTGTGCGCGCGCGTGTGTGTGTGTGTGTGTGTATAGATCACTCGCTTCGTTCGGATAGAGATAGCGGGGTTTTCGAATACGCACCGGAGTGCACCGAAAGCCCGAGAAGCCTGCGCAAGTCGCCGGTCAACTTCCGGACCGATCCTGCCCTCTGGAGTCATCAAGCACCCAAGGTAGATGAAGGACGGCACGTACTCCACCGACTCACCATCGATGACAATGGGACGGCGGTCATCATCGGGAATGCCGAAGCCGCAAGACATGAACTTCGTCTTGGCAAAGTTGACTGTGAGACCAAATGCCGATGCCACAGAATGGAAAAACTCAAGTGCCGACTCAGCCACTTCACGGGAGGGCACCATAAGAGCAGCATCATCAGCAAATTCCACATCCAAAGCTGCAGAACGCTGGTGACACGTGCGGCTGTTGTTGAACAAGTTGCCGTTGATGTTGAACCTGAAGTCAATGCCCGCGTCTGGATGTCGACGCTGCACCTCACTGCGCCGCTTCTCGAATACAAGGGCAAAGTAGAGACTGAAGAGGACGGGATAGATTGTAGTCATTGTACATCCCTGTCGCAGACCATTGTTCACTGCTATCTGCTCAGTATGCCTGTCCCATTGTCATCGATGGTCAGTCGGTGGAGTGCGTGCCGTCCTTCATCTACCTTGGCTTGGGTGCTTGATGACTCCAGAGGGCAGGATCGGTCCTGAGTTGACCGGCGACTTGCGCAGGCTTCTGGGGCTTTCGGTGCACTCTGCGTATTATCTCTAATATAAGCACAGTCTCCAATAATAGCACGTCTCCAATAATAGAACACCTTGGGGTGGCATTCAAAAAATAAAGTGCTCAGTCTCCATTATAAGCACACTGTGTAAATTCATTATCTGTACCGGTGAAAAAACCCTGAAATTTGTGTGTATGACATATAAATTTGGCATGGCAACATGCCTCTGAAATGAGGTTGAAATAATAATGGAACAGTCTCCGATAAAGGAACGTCTCCAATAATAGCACGGGGCGAAGGTACATTGAAAAAATAAAGGACCGTGCTTACATGTATATTAGAGATAATAATTATAGTCTAGGAGCCAGGGGGTCATCAGAACTGAGCTGTGTGACACCCTGTCCAGGAAGGATTTTTTGACGGATTTGGAATGGCATAACAACCAGTAACTGATCCCTGAAAACCAGAATGTGCCAAAGTTGTCCGTTCAAGAGTTATGGCCTATTTAATAAAATTGCCATGGTTACCATAGCAACGTACATGTAAATTGCCTCTTTTTAGCTCAAGAGACATGCAATATGGGTCAAATAGATAATGAATTGCTGTCAAAGTCATAAGTGAAGATAGAAGTTCCCAAAACTGCCTTTAACATTATTATAAATGTCATCGAAAGTGAATTATTTAATACTGGTGTGATTTGTACATGTACAATATACATGTACATGTACATTGTACATGTATTTGGTATCATTATTACATTGTATGTAGAGGTAGTATCGCCGTTACTTATCAGTGGGAAATTGCTGTGTGGTCACCAGGAGCAGAGCTTGACACTGGCACATAGAAGTACAAAACAAGGGGAAAAGCGGGCAAGCTCAGTCGTCGGTATTCTTTATGGCCATCTCCCCCACATTTCACCAGAATGCCGAAAGACCTTTTATCATACATACGTTTTGCCTATTTTCTTGTATTGCTGTGTGGTGTGGTGTGGTGTGGCGCTGGTAATGGCCTCTTTGCAAAGCTGGAGATTGTGCATCGACGGATTCTCCGGGCAATACATCGTTTGCCGCGCGAGACCAACATAGCCGTTCTCTATGAAAATTGCTGTACATTTCCTCTGAAACATTACATTGACCGATCCTCCTGCGTATACATTCACAAAATCAAACTTATCACTGCCCCTCAGCATGTGCAGCATTCCTTAAACTGGTTCAATGAATCCTCAACAAGCCGGAACTCGCTTCGTTTCCCGATTGCAAGAAACAATTCTATGAGCAAATCGCCTGTATTCCAAGCATACCAATTATGGGATTCTCTTCCTCAGCAATTAAAGTCCAGCAACACCCTCAATGTGTTTTTAAGCTTGATAAATATACACGTACGTCGATCTTCATTTACTAATCATTGATTTCAATTCTCTTTGTGTATTACTTCAAGCTCCAAAGTAAATCACATATGCTACCTGTACAATTCATTTGGGTTTTGGATTGATTTACTTATATTTCATTTTCATTTTCATTTAACTTGCCATATTTTGCGTGTGCATTTTTGCCTTCTTGTTCTTTTATTCCATGGCTGGTAGCCCTCATTCATAATAGTGGTTGACACCATGTCATCCATGAATTGAGAATAATAATAATAATAATAAGAACTTATAGAAAAGAAAAAGGACCATCGAACTGCAAGCTACGCTATAATATGCGCACACCGTCCGCAAATGGCGCTATGCCGACTCCGCTAGCAAGTGATGGGTCCTCGGTCACCTAGCCAACAGCTAAATCCTCTTGCCCAACCCTTTGTGCCCCACGCAAGTTCATCACACCCTTCCCCTCATTGCGTTACATATTCTTCTATATCTAGTGGTCATATTCCACTTGCACCACCATTCCTTCCTGATTCTGGACGACAAACTACTAAAACTCCTAATCAACCTGCCCAATTACCTTCATCCTTCTCAGTGCTCTCACTTAACTGCCGCTCCATAGTAAATAAGTTAGCTGAGCTTAGTCAAGTCTTTGAGCAGTATTCTCCAGACATAATCTGCCTATGTGAAACTTGGCTGACAGCTGCCATAGACGTCTCAATTCCAGGCTACACGTCATACCGCCTGGACCGGCAACCTACGACCAGCTCTGATAACCTGCCAGCCAGAGGCTATGGCGGTGTTGCTACTCTTGTAGCTGACAGGTCGTTCATGTCCATCATGCGCCGATTCGACCTTGAGCGCTGTGGACTGGAGGCGGTTTGGCTCGGATTGCGGCCAGTGATCCTTCCCTCATTCCCCTCATCATCTGCTCTGTTTACAGACCCCCTGGAGACAGCATCTCCCAAGTCTAGGCATTTGGTGACCTCCTAGAGGACAGTCTGTCCAACATTAGCCTCCCCAATTCTGCGATTGTACTTGCAGGAGACTTGAATGCTCGCCACTCTGACTGGTCTCCTAGAGACACCACGAATCGTGCTGGAAGGGAGTTCCGTAACCTCTTCTCTTGTTTTGGCCTTGAGCAAATGGTGACATTCCCCACACACTTTACCCCCCATGGCTCAACATCGTGTATTGACGTTGTGCTCACGGATCATCCTCACCTACTACTCTCTGTTACATCTCTTGCTCCTCTTGGTGCATCTGACCACGCACAGATCCTCAGTCACTTCCTACTGCCTACTGATGCTGTTTATCGTGAGGAACCTGCTGCAAACGGACATCCCGCTGCTGCACCCCAATACCACTTCAAGAATGTTCCTGCAAAGCCGGAATATGACTTTAAATCTGTGCCATCTTCCGTCTGGGATAGTGTGAATGCAGAGCTCGCTGATATTGACTGGAGCTGGCATCTGCGTGCCAGCAACGTCAATGATGCGCTTTCGCACTTTTCTTCCATTCTCAACAGTGCCCTTGAGAAGCACCTCTGGCCATTCGGAAAGCAGCCGTATTCTCACAGCTGCCCACGGTCCAGTCAGCCACCCTGGGTTGATGCCCATCTCCGCACAGCAATCAAGTGGAAATATGATCTCTATAGCATTTTTAAGAAGTACCCAACACAACAAAACAAACAAGCATACCAACAGCAGCGAAATATAATGAAAACCCTGACGCGGACAAAGTACAGAGCTTATATCCGCTCAGTGCAAACTATTTTGCAGGGTAGACACCGTCCATCGCTTCACCAGTTTGTGAGACAAGCAAGAATTCGAAACGTATCACGGGAAATTCCGTCACTCACCACAGGGACTCAGCAGGCGGCTGACCCTTTGGCCAAAGCTACCGCATTAAACGCCCAGTTTGCATCTGTGACTCGGCCAGATGACCCGTTGCTCTCTATTCCCCCTATTCTCACCCCCTCGGAGCCCTCAGCTTGTTTCACGTCCGCCATC